AGGAGATGAATACAGGAAAACCAACGGTGCCATAAAAGATCTTGCAATGGAGTCAATGAGGCAGCTGATGTCGTAAGAAAATCACTATTGAACAGCTACAGTGCTATTCTAGAGATGAGAGAGATAGAAGACAGCTAGAAAATGTCCAGTGAAGTACCATCATATCAAACAGATACAGAAATCTTAACAGGCTAGTATCTCTCACATGTATACCCTGTTGCCATAGAGAGGATCCTATTAAAAAGATGGTAAACTAACTAAAGAATATATGAAAAGCATTACAGATCAACAAAGCAGAATCAGTAGTGAAATCCTACTTTTTTTTTTTTTTTTCAACAAGTCGGCCATCTCCCACCGAGGCAGGGTGACCCAAAAAAGAAAGAAAATCCCCAAAAAGAAAATACTTTCATCATGATTCAACACTTTCACCACACTCACACATTATCACTGTTTTTGCAGAGGTGCTCAGAATACAACAGTTTAGAAGCATACACGTATAAAGATACACAACATATCCCTCCAAACTGCCAATATCCCAAACCCCTCCTTTAAAGTGCAGGCATTGCACTTCCCATTTCCAGGACTCAAGTCCGACTATATGAAAATAACCGGTTTCCCTGAATCCCTTCACTAAATATTACCCTGCTCACACTCCAACAGATCATCAGGTCCCAAGTATCATTCGTCTCCATTCACTCCTATCTAACATGCTCATGCACGCTTGCTGGAAGTCCAAGCCCCTCGCCCACAAAACCTCCTTTACCCCCTCTTTCCAACCCTTTCGAGGACGACCCCTACCCCTCCTTCCTTCCCCTATAGATTTATATGCTTTCCATGTCATTCTACTTTGATCCATTCTCTCTAAATGACCAAACCACCTCAACAACCCCTCTTCTGCCCTCTGACTAATGCTTTTATTAACTCCACACCTTCTCCTAATTTCCGCACTCCGAATTTTCTGCATAATATTCTAGAATGTCAAGAGAAAGACAAGAAACAGATAAATTGGCAGAAAGTGTATTCTAGCTAGATCTTTATGATGTTTAATATGCTGCTAATTTATAAAACTGAAAAGCACACTGAGTTATCAGGAAAGGTACTCCACTGGATGAAGAAGTGCATGGCAAACACTAGGCTGAGAACCATAATAAGAGATGCTATCAAAAGCATAATTATGAAGCTAGAGGTGGAGAAAGGAGACTGAAAGCAGAGTATAGTTCTATTAGGCAAGAAAAATGCTCTCAAAACAAAAAAAAATAGAGACACTTATGCAACATATGGGAATCTTTATTAAGGAAATGTTTTGCCACACAGTGGCTTCATCAGTCCAATACAAAGCAGAAATGTGTAAGGAGCGGAGGAGTTTGAGGTAATCAGTCCCTCAGCATGGAATTGATGTGTTCAGTCCATCACTCTTGTAGAAAGTGCAGAATATGGCCGGAGAAGTGGCTTATATACTGCAGTCAGTATATGACTGCCATATTCTGCACTTTCTACAAGAGTGATGGACTGAACACATCAATTCCATGCTGAGGGACTGATTACCTCAAACTCCTCCGCTCCTTACACATTTCTGCTTTGTATTGGACTGATGAAGCCACTGTGTGGCAAAACATTTCCTTAATAAAGATTCCTATGTGTTGCATAAGTGTCTCAATCTTCAACTTGTCGGTTTTAAAACCATTCATCACACACACAAAAAAAAAAAAAAAAAAAAAAAAAAAAAAAAAAAAAAAAAAAAAAAAAAAAAAAATGAAAAATACTCAAACTTGTTCTCTGAAACAAAGAGTCACAAGCAGCAAAGCCTAAGCTTGCAAATACATACGAGGCATTCAGAAACCTATACACACACATATTCAAAACATACTTGGCCTCATATGTGTGTGATCCATTCTCATATATGTAGCACCTAGTAAAACACAAAGCAAAACTTGAAAAAAGTCCTGAGTTGAGGGAATGGCTATGAAAGAATAATGAGAGAACCAGGTCTTCTATCTCTAAAAGAATAAAAACAAAAGGAGATATGATGACAGCATAAAAAATTTTCAAAAGGCATTAATAGGGAAGAGATTAGGATTATTACCAAGACTGAAACAAGAGGGCATAGTTAGAAATTACATATACCTAAATAAGCCACAGGATTATCTGAGATAATTTCTCCAACACACAAATAGCAAAAAAAGTAGAAAGGAACTATAGAATGACAATGAAAGACTGCAGTATGCACATGTTTAAAAGTAGATATAACACATTAGTCTCTCCAAATTTGAGAAGTGGGATCAGAAGCTATGATGCCATTACTACCGTATGTAAGTCTCACCTTACACAGCCTGTACAGAAACCATTACTTAAATTCCAAATAAATAAAATTAACTATTATATACAAAACTAATTTCCTGCCTTATCAGAAACTTCATGTTTTGTAGTGTTATTACATGTATTTAGCAACCATAAAATGCCTATCAAATTCAGTAAAGCAATATTTTGAAATTGAAGAGGCATTACTGTATATGTATTCTGTGGAAAGATACTTGTATCACAGGATATAATGTACAGTGTTCTGAATGTGGCACAGAACCAGATGTAGCCCAACCACGAATTTGTAATATACATTATAAATCCATCACCATCATGCCCCTCAAGCACATCCAGTTTTATTTACTTATTGTACCTTTATTTTTAACGTATTTCAATTTTACCATAAATCAGTTTAACAATTTCATATCAAATGTCATCTGTCATTTTGTTATATGGATAGTAAAATTTAGCGCATATTCCTTCCTTTTTCTTCACTTCAATAAAATATATAAACATAGATCAGAGAGGATTTATTTAACTAAACCACATAGTGCCAAAGAAAGGCTTAATGAATTTAATGTGTTCCTATGTATTGCATAAAATATTTTGTTATTAAAACAGCAATGCAATTTTACTACTGATTAGTAAAACTGCTCTGAATCATGAAATCAAATCTGTTTAATGGGCCTTGGAAAAGCAAGTACAGTGGACCCCCAGATTGAGTTGTCATCAGAATAAGTAATATTTGAAATAAGTAATGTTTTTTCGTCAAAATATTGGCTTGGTGAACATCACTGAACTCGGTATAAGTCATTCGTGAAATTGAGACACATGTGCAACATCTGGGCATCTTCATTGTAGACGTTTCGCCATCCAGTGGCTTTATCAATACAAATTCCAGGACATAACTTGAAGACAGGAGAACTATGTACAGAAGATGAGGTAATCAGTCCCTCAACCTAGCAGTAGGTGCGAAGAGCACCATAGTCGCCTTGCTTCTGCTTCAGAATCTCCACGACTATGGTGCTCTTCGCACCTACTGCTAGGTTAAGCGACTGATTACCTCATCTTCTGTACATAGTTCTCAGGTCTTCAAGTTATGTCCTGGAATTTGTATTGATAAAGCCACTGGATGGCGAAACGTCTACAATATAGATACCCAGATGTTGCACATGTGTCTCAATTTCATCTTGTCGGTATTGTATACCATTCTTGTACATAAGTCATTCGTCCGGAATGTGTCCGCGTGGCCTGAGCAGCCCCGACACTCCATGTACATCCAGTGTGCCACTGTTTACCAGCCAGTGAGGACGATCCCACACATTCATACAATACATTTTGTATTATTCCATTCTTTTCAGTGCTTGTAACTGCTAAATAAGCCACCATGGGCCCAAAGAAAGCTTCTAGTGCCAGCCAGCCCTTTGGTAAAGAGCTGAGAGAGAGGGGAGAACGTGCCTTTTTCAGCAATTCTGCAATATGTACGATACTAAAGCAGCAGGAGTCAATAAAGGCTATAGCACCAGCCAGCGATACAGTGTCGCATTAACAGCATAGCAAGCGATACAGTGTCGCATTAACAGCATAGCAAGTAAGTTAAGTGATTAATTGATAGAAAATGGACAGCATGAAACTGACTCCTCCATTGTTGTTGGAGGTACAGTATACAGGGATACTGATTAACACTGCCATGACTGCTGCCTCTTGCTGCCGCCTTCACCACCATGTAAGGCTTATCTTTCAGTGGCCCTTATACACCCAACAACAAACAACACACCACCACTCGTGACATTCCTAATGCCATATTTTATTCATTCTAGAGTATATATCATGTTTCTATGTTATTAATATTGTTTATTATGTCATATTAGATGAACTGTGCTAGATAAATAAGCCACAGAGCTGATATTAGTGTCATATTGAAGGACTATCTTGTCCTGTCTCCCAACACAATTCCTAACAAATGTCAGAAACAGACCTCTCTGGAACACTTTTTTTGAGCCACAGGGGTCCAGTGACTCAAGTGCTCCTAGTGGCATTAAAAAACAAAGAAAAGAAGTAACCCAGGTTAAGGACTTGGTAATTGAAGTCTTTATGGAAGAGGATTTTCCTTCCAAACACTTGTAAACTCCTCCATCCTCTCCCCTTCTCCCATCTTCCATACATCACCATGTCTTCAATAAAGGTAAGTGTGATGTTATTATTGTTTTATTCTTCATGTATCACTGTTTTCTGTGTAGGTAAGTGTATATTCATGTAGAAAACCTTTTTTTTAATACTTTTGGGTGTCTGAAATGGATTAATTGGATTTCCATTATTTCTTATGGGGAAAATTAATTCGGAATAAGTCACTCTCTCTGGAACGGATTAATTACATAATCCGGGGGTCCACTGTATATCAAATTAAATCCTAAGTTCTATAAAGGACTACATATATAAATATCTTAACTTTCTTGTGTAATTAACCTAACTAGATTTCTTGACTTAAGTCATTTTTATAACTTGATCACAAGGTGAATTAAGTAAACAAATTACTGAACAGTAATTACAAACCATCAGAGATTAGCTCAGCCCATGCATTGTATATGCCTTTGATCATTACATTAACTCAATGTTGGTAAAATATTAGAAAATGATTAGAACAGAGACCTTCACCAGTGTACCAGAACTCCTTTTAAACATTTGAATGAAAAATGTCTTACCGTACACTTGTATTTCACACAGTCAGACCAAAAATGCGAGACCGAGAATTTCCGCTTTATGACGGTAGATCCACCATTAAAAAGACTGTGGCCTAACCCAATGATCCCCCCTGCAGTATGGTATAAAGGCAGGGGATCGTAGAGTATATCAGACGAAGTTAAGCCAATAAATGTGCTCATGCCTTCCCCTGCAAAGTAGGTCCTGGCAACCAGGAAGGAAAAACAGTAGTAAAGTTTGTATATGAATTTTTACTGTAGGCAAACCAACTGCTGGCACAATACAAATAAATAACGAAGATAAGAAAGGCCAAAAGAAAGATTTTAAGTCAAATAAGCTACAGACAATTCATAGTTCCTTCTACATTAAAAATGTGGGCATATGAAAAGGCAGGAATGCACTTTCATTCAATTATGAACATACACACAACACATCTGCATTTGAAGCACCGAGCATTTATTTATACATTTAATGAAATTTTAAATCAATATACTGTATCTATAAATGTCACCAGTCATACAAATAAAAATAGAAGTGAAATATTCAGATTTTGTCATCCGTACACTCTTAATAGATAATTTATAATTACTATACTGGTCAAGGTGCGAAGTACAGTGTCTGGACTCTAAAGGATGGATGAGAATGTTACAGTTCAGATGGTCATTTGTACTGTGATGTCTGCACACTTCTGGAAAAACAGCTACTCAATGAAAGACTGTAAACAAGTCCTCACTGTTTTGGGTCATCCTACCTTGGTGGAAGATGGCCGGTATATTAACAAAATTCTTATTCTTACTATTATTTTTATAATACTCACACAAAAAGAGATAAACGTATATGGTCCTCTTAAGAGCACGAGTCTTCTCTGTAATTATTCTTAAACTTTAGTGGCAAATGATGGTCAGCCACTAATTCTGGAGCTGCATTTCGTACTTCATACCTCTACCCTGTTCCCAATAAACTTTGTTTTACTGGTCCAAATATATTCTCAAAATTTTCTTTTCATTCTGCCATTTCTCAGTTTTTTTTTTTTTTTGTTATTAATACACACAAAATTCTTCAATACAGCTTTCTAGTGCAATACTAAAGGTATTTTGCCTTAAAGTTTATACTGTACATCCTTTAAAGTTATATAGCTTTAAAATGCTGATGAAAACATAGGCAATTAATTTATTTACTGTACTTGTTTCTATGACTTATAATGATTAATATTTGATTAATATTTGAAAGGTGAAGAGAGTGGTGAGAGAGTGCAAAAGGAGAGCAGATGAAAGAGTGGGAGAGGCACTGTCAAGAAATTTTAATGAAAATAAGAAAAAATTTTGGAGTGAGTTAAACAAGTTAAGAAAGCCTAGGGAAAGTATGGATTTGTCCATTAAAAACAGAGTAGGGGAGTTAGTAGATGGGGAGAGGGAGGTATTAGTAGATGGCGAGAATATTTTGAGGAACTTTTAAATGTTGAGGAAGAAAGGGAGGCGGTAATTTCATGCACTGGCCAGGGAGGTATACCATCTTTTAGGAGTGAAGAAGAGCAGAATGTAAGTGTGGTGGAGGTACGTGAGGCATTACATAGAATGAAAGGGGTAAAGCAGCTGGAACTGATGGGATCATGACAGAAATGTTAAAAGCAGGGGGGATATATGTGTTGGAGTGGTTGGTACTTTTGTTTAATAAATGTATGAAAGAGGGGAAGGTACCTAGGATTGGCGGAGAGCATGTATAGTCCCTTTATATAAAGGAAAAGGGACAAAAGAGACTGTAAAAATTATAGAGGAATAAGTTTGCTGAGTATAACCAGGAAAAGTATACGGTAGAGTTATAATTGAAAGAATTAGAGGTAAGACAGAATGTAGAATTGCGGATGAGCAAGGAGGCTTCAGAGTGGGTAGGGGATGTGTAGATCAAGTGTTTACATTGAAGCATATATGTGAACAGTATTTAGATAAAGGTAGGGAAGTTTTTATTGCATTTATGGATTAGAAAAGGCATATGATAGAGTGAATAGAGAGCAATGTGGCAGATGTTGCAAGTTTATGGAATAGGTGGTAAGTTACTAAATGCTGTAAGAAGCTTTTATGAGGATAGTGAGGCTCAGGTTAGGTGTGTAGAAGAGAGGAGAATACTTCCCAGTAAAAGTAGATCTTAGACAGGGATGTGTAATGTCACCATGGTTGTTTTAATATATTTATAGATGGGGTTGTAAAAGAAGTAAATGCTACGGTGTTCGGGAGAGGGGTGGGATTAAATTATGGGAATCAAATTCAAAATGGGAAATGACACAGTTACTTTTTGCTGATGATACTGTGCTTATGGGAGATTCTAAAGAAAAATTGCAAAGGTTAGTGGATGAGTTTGAGAATGTGTGTAAAGGTAGAAAGTTGAAAAATGAACATAGAAAAGAGTAAGGTGATGAGGGTATCAAATGATTTAGATAAAGAAAAATTGGATATCAAATTGGGGAGGAGGAGTATGGAAGAAGTGAATTTTTCAGATATTTGGGAGTTGACGTGTCGGCGGATGGATTTATGAAGGATGAGTTAATCATAGAATTGATGAGGGAAAAAAGGTGAGTGGTGCGTTGAGGTATATGTGGAGTCAAAAAACGTTATCTATGGAGGCAAAGAAGGGAATGTATGAAAGTATAGTAGTACCAACACTCTTATATGGATGTGAAGCTTGGGTGTAAATGCAGCAGCGAGGAGACGGTTGGAGGCAGTGGAGATGTCCTGTCTAAGGGCAATGTGTGGTGTAAATATTATGCAGAAAATTCGGAGTGTGGAAATTAGGAGAAGGTGTGGAGTTAATAAAAGCATTAGTCAGAGGCAGAAGAGGGGTGTTGAGGTGGTTTGGTCATTTAGAGAGAATGGATCAAAGTAGAATGACATGGAAAGCATATAAATCTATAGGGAAGGAAAGAGGGGTAGGGTCGTCCTCGAAAGGGTTGGAAAGAGGGGGGAAAGGAGGTTTTGTGGCGAGGGGCTTGGACTTCCAGCAAGCGTGCATGAGCGTGTTAGATAGGAGTGAATGGAGACGAATGATACTTGGGACCTGACGATCTGTTGGAGTGATGAGCAGGGTAATATTTAGTGAAGGGATTCAGGGAAACCGGTTTATTTTCATGATACGTGACTTGAGTTCTAAAGAAAAAATTGCAAAATTTAAAAGGGTGGTTTGGGAATTGGCAGTTGAGGATAGTTGTAGTGAACATCATAAAGTATATGTATGATGGTTGTAAAATTGAGACTCTAAAAGAAAATTGATTCAATGTGGGAAGAGTTGAAGATGATGAAATGTATTTCTCTTTCTGTGGGGATGATTTTATGAAGGATTGAGGTTTACCCTAGAATCGTGAGGGAAAAAGAGTGTGCTTGAGGCTATGTTAAAAAAACAAGAAAAAAAAAAAAAAAAATATAAAACACTTATATGGGAACTTGGGGGAAATGAGAGGAGAAACGTTGAGCAGTGGAGATGTCCCTGTTTAAAGGGCATGTGTGTACAATATTGCAGAAATGGGTGTTGAACAATTCAGAAGAAGGGTGAGTTAATAAAGTATTAGCTAGAGGGTAAGAGAGGTTTTGAGTTTGGTCATCTGTAGAGAGAAACGGATTAAATAAAAATGAAAGCATAAAATTATAGGGGAAGGAATGGGGTAGGATCGTCCTCGAAAGGTTGGAGAGAGGGGTAAAGGAGGTTATTGTGGTAAAGGGCTGGACTTCCAGCAAGCGTGCGTGAACGTGTTAGATAGGAGTGAATGGAGACGAATTGTACTATGGGACCTGAACGAATCTGTGAGTGTGAGCAGGTAATATTAGTGAAGGATTCATGGGAAACCGTTATTTTCATATAGTCGGACTTGATCTGGAAATGGAAGTACAATGCCTGCACTTAAAGGAGGGTTTTGGGATATTGGCAGTTTGGAGGATGATTGTGTAATCTATTATATGATGCTTCTAGACTGTTGTATTCTGAGCACCTCTGCAAAAACAGTGATAAGTGCGAGTGTGGTGAAAGTGTTGAATGATGATGAAAGTATTTTCTTTTGGGGATTTCTTCTTTTTGGGTCACCCTGCCTCGGTGGGAGACGCGACTTGTTTGAAAAAAAAAAAAAAAAAAAAAAATTCAGGAAAACCGGTTATTTTCATATAGTCGGACTTGATCCTGAAATGGGAAGTACAATGCCTGCACTTAAAGGAGGGGTTTGGGATATTGCAGTTTGGAGGGATATGTTTTTGTATCTTTATATGTATATGCTTCTAAACTGTTGTATCCTGAGCACCTCTGCAAAAGCAGTGATAATGTGTGAGTGTGGTGAAAGTGTTGAATGATGATGAAAGTATTTTCTTTTTGGGGATTTTCTTTCTTTTTTGGGTCACCCTGCTTCGGTGGGAGACGACTGACTTGTTAAAAAAAAAAAAAAAAAAAAAAAAAAATGCATGGGGAAGTAGAGGAGAATCCTTCCTCTGTAAGAATAACAAAAAAAAGGCACAATACCATGGGTGTCATAAGAAACAACTAAAATGCCAGAAGAAAGGGGCTAGTAACCCCTCCCTTGTGTATATTACTAAATGTAAAAAGAAAAATTCTTTATTGGGTCATCCTGCCTCAGTGGGAGAAACCCAGTGTTAAAAAAAAATAGTAATAATAATAAAATGAAATTGGGATGTTTGAATATGCATAGATGTAGTACAGATAAGAGATGATGGTGAATGTCATGAGTGAAAAGAAGCTGGATATCCTGGCTCTCAGCAGAACAAAGTTGAAGTGGGTAGGAGACTTTCAATGGTAAAAAATAAATGGGATAAGGTCAGAAAGAGTTAGAACTATGGAAGGAGTAGCAATAATGTTGAAGGATCAATTATGGCAGGAAGAGAGGGAAAATAACGAAAGACTGGATATCAGAGTGGAAGGAAAGAATATGGAGGAAGTGGATGTCTTCAGACATTTGGGAGTGAATTTGTCAGTGGATGGGTATACAAAAAATGAGGCGAACCATAAAACTATTGAAGAAAAAAGGTTGGTGGTGCATTGCGGCATCTGTGGAGACAAAGAACATTATCCATGGAGACAAAATATATGAGAATACAGTAATACCAACACTAAATGGGTGTGAATGGTACAGTGAGGAGGAGGCTGGAAGCAGATGTCTTATCTGAGGGCAATGTGTGGTGTAAATATTATGCAGAGAATTCATAGCATGGAGATTAGGAGGAAGTGTAGAGTTACTAAAAGTATTATCCAGAAAGCTGAGGAGTTGTTCAGGTGGTATGGATATACAGAGAAGATAGAGCAAAATAAGATGAACTTGGAAGGTGCATAAATCTGTAGTGGAGGGAAGGTGGAGAAGAGGTCACCCTAAGAAAGGTTGGAAGGAGGGGGTCAAAGAGGTTTTGAGTGTGAGGGGCTTGGACAACCAGCTTGCATGTGTGAGTGTTAGATAGGAGTGAGTGGAGGCAAATGGTTTTTGCTGTTGGAGTGTAAGCAAGGTAATATTTTGTTAAAGAGATTCAGGAAAACCAGTTTGTAGGACTAGTCCTGGAGGTGAAAAATACAGTGCCTGCACTCTTAAGGAGGGGGGGCAGAAATATGTGCAGTTTAGAGGGTCATCTGAACTAGTATTCGCACACCTCTAGCAAGACAGTTGTAAAATGAATGATGATAAAAGTGTTTCTTTTGCAGGTCACCCTACCTTAGTGGGAGATGACAAGTGTATTAAAAAATAACAATATTTTTTTTCAACAAACCAGCCATATCCCACTGAGGCAAGGTGACTCAAAACGAAAAACAAAAGCTTTCTTACTAAATTTAATAAGAAAAACAAAAGTATTTCTTTTTAAATTAAGTTATACAGGAGAAGAAGCTACTAGTTCCTTGTTCCAGCAGTTTAGTTGTGTCTTATGACACATGTGGCTTACAGAGGAAGAATTCTTTTCCACTTCCCCATGGAGAACAATAATAACAATGAATTATTTATACGTCCAATTTGACAAGTATTTTCTGCTGCTGAATTTTGCATCATTAGAGATGTGACGATATTAAGTGACCAACCATCTGTCAACATTTTATATTTAGCACATGTAGCATCTCATTTTCAGTGTGACAAATAGTGTACTTAAATATGCTCAGAGCAGGGTGTGTATCCTCAATACACTAGCATTGTCCGTTGATGGAGATGAACAAGATAGTGATACTTATTCAACTATTCCATTCATCATGAATTATACTTTCTTCCTCTGGCTTGTATCATGGCTCCTTTTTAAAAGTTCATTCCTATTTACAATGCAAGCACCAGCTTAAACAACCACATGGAACATAGGAAGATGAAGCATCTCCTATGATGCAGAAAGCTTGATAATCAGCCACACAATCCACATAATACCACATAACTTTCCTAATGGCACAAGTAGTACAGTTATAACAATACCACAAATAAGCACGTATCATAAACCCTTTTTCTGAATAGGTCTGGCTTACCGTGCAATTGTGTCTGATACAATCATTCCAATATGCCGTGACTGAAAATTTGCGTTTGATAACCACAGTCATCCCAGATATGAAGGATAGGCCTGAGCCTAAAATACCCGAAGCCAAGTGGTAAAGGGGAAGAGGCGTGTAGACCACATCATTGGGCTTCAGGTCTAACATGCAAGTGCCAGCTGCCACTGTAAGCACTCCCCTGAGTTCCCCAAAATTGTTAAAATGATTTATGACAAGAAGCATTACATAAAGCAACAAAATCACATTAAATTATGGTAAAAACTATTGCTTTAAAACAAATTGCATAAAATAAAATGAAAAGCAATCATATCAATTCAACATGATTAGGCTACATAAAAATTAAACAGAAGCTAAAAAAATATATAGTAATATAACATGGCCTCTTCTGTTAAAAAGTCTGTTAACGAAACACAGAAAACTACAGGATTTTTCCTTTGATCTGTTAACCAAAAACACACTCATCATTTAAAAATTTTACACTGTTTTATAGACATTTAAATTCAATTCTAATACAAATCTGTACAAAACAAGTTAGAGTAGCCCAACATGTCTCCTGCTTGACCTGACTCTTGCTCACAAGTCACTAGCTAGCTAAACAGCACATCCCCTAGGGATATTTGCCTATATTATGCTGAAATTACCCAGTAAAGGCTAAGTATTAATATTCCACACCTCTTATGAGCAATACCATCACCTAAAACACCCATGAGCTCAACAATTTTGGATAGAGAAAACATACAGTACTGTAAATCAATAAATTACAAAAGCTTTAACAAGCAGAATATATGAAGCAACATGACACATAATAATCTATTAAATATTTTGTGGAGACTAAAATGATTATTAAAGAGCATAGGTCATAGAGGTAATCTTCATTTCTTAACTTAAGAGAGGGGGAAGAGCAAGAGAAGACAGAAGGGGAAGAGAGAGAAAGAGGGAGGGAGGGAGGGAGGGAGGGAGGGAGGGAGGGAAAGAGAGGGAAAAAGAAGGGAAGTAAGTGGGGAAAGAGAGGGTAGGAAGAGAGGAAAGAGAGAGAGGAAAGGGAAGAGGCTGGGAGAGAAAGAGTGAGAGGAAAGGAGAAAAAAAAAAAAAAAAAAAAAAAAAAAAAAACACTCACCCTTACAGCAAAACATACACCTCACCTAATAACCCTTCTCAACCCAGAAAAATTACACCACTCCCAATATATGTATTAGTACCAATCCTTCCCTAATATAACAAGTCTGGAAATCACTTACGAGGGAACCTGAAATAGTATTATGGGGAAGGGTAGTAGTAAATGAAAGCTGAAATAATTTTCTCCTACCTTGAATGTTTAATAACAGCAGCTTTAGGCATGCCAGTAGTGCCTGAAGTATATATGAACACCATCTTGTCAGAGAAATTCACATTATGAAGCTGAGTAGGAGTAGTTGAAGCAGCTGCATTTAAACCAGCATCCAAGCTCACAGCATCTGAAAAAGTGCAGTAATTCCTTTAAAATCATGGAACCTAAATTCGGTAATAATGGTACTTTGTATTATCACCATCAGTGTGATTGTATTTATACACTCAGGGAAGGGTAACTACTGACACTGGTACCAACACTCTTATATGGGTGTGAAGCATGGGTTATAAATGCTGCAGCAAGGAGGGTGGAGGCAGTGAAGATGTCGTGTCTAAGGGCAATTTGTGATGTAAATATTATGCAGAGAATTCATAGTGTGGAAATTAGGTGTGGAGTTTCTAAAAGTATTATTCAGAGGGCTGAAGAGAAGTGGTTGAGGTAGTTTGGTCATTTAAAGAGGATGGGGCAAAACAAATTGACTTAAGAGTCTTTAAATCTGTAGTGGAGGGGAGGAGGGATAGGGGTCATCCTAGAAAAGGATAGAGGGAGTGGGTAAAAGAGGTTTTGTGTGCAAGGTGCTTGAACATGCAGCAGGCATGTGTGTGTGTCAGACAGGAGTGAAAGGAGATGAATGGTTTTTGGGACCTGACAAGCTGTTAAATTAGACACATGTGCAACTCTTGGGTATCTTTAATGAGGAAACATTTCAGCCACACAGTGGCTTCTTCAGTCCATACAAAAGATAAACTTGAAGAACAGGAGGAGAATGAGGTAATCAGTCCCTCAACCTTGAGTCGATGTGGTCAGTCCATCAATCTTGAATAGAATACGGCATAGGAGCGGAGAAGCAGCTTATAAACCGTATGGCAGGAGAGGTGCAGCAGTCGTAGGTGGTGTCACATTTGTCCAATGTGGAAGTAGGTCATGCCCCAGGGTTAGGCAAGCGAAGAATTCCCAAGTATTAAGATCCCAAGAAGTTGCAGTGTCTGACAGGATTGTAGATGAATAATTCAAAGAACCGACATGTGTCTAATTTAACAACATGTCGGTTCTTTGAATCATTCATCTACAAACCTGACAAGCTGTTGGAGAATGAGCAGGGAAACCGGTTAGCCAAACTTGGGTCCTGGAGGTGGGAAGTACAATGCTTTCACTTTAAAGGAGGGGTTTGTGATATTGGCAGTTTGGAGTGACGTTTAAACTGTCATATCTGGGTGCCTCCACAAAGACAGTGATTATGTGTGAATGATGGTAAATGTGTTAAATGATGGTGAAATTTTCTTTCTTTCCTTTTTGGGTCACCCTGCCTCAATGGGAGACGGCTAAGTAAAAAAAAAAAAAAAAAAAAAAAAAAGTCAGTGCTTCACACCCAAGTAAGAGTGCTGGTATTATTATACTCTGGTACATTTCCCTTTTTTGTCTCCGTAGATAAACTTCCTTTCAATGAATAACGCAATACACCTCCTGCATTTTTCACCCTCATCTTTCATAGATCAATCTACAGACATGTCCACCTCCATCTAAATACTACATTCACTTTCATTATCCCTCCCTGCAGTAAGGATGCTATGGGTGGCAGTGATGTCATGTTTGAGAGCAATTTGTAGTGTGAACATTACCATATGCAGACAATTTGGAACATATAAATAAGAAGACAGTGCAGGACTACAAAAGGTAATCCTGCACTGAGTGGATAGGGAGGGGTTGTTAAGGTGGTTTGGTTATATAGAGGATGGAGAAAAATAGGATGACTAAGAGGGTGTATAAATCTGGGTTGGAAGGAAGGAGAGGTAGGAGTCATCTCAGGATGAGAAGGAACACTGTCAAATTATCAAATTCAACATTAAAGTTGTAAACACTGCACATACCTTTAAGTGTAAGTTCTTCACCAGCACCAAACACATACAACTGAAGGCTGGAAATGTCCTCAGAGTCTCTAATATCAGCCATAGCTATGAAAAGGAAATAAGATTTCTTAAAATTATGGCTAGCTGGGAGTACTAAAGTTAACTAATACAGTATATGTACTATACCATTACTTGTTAACTGGTTACAATATTGACTAAAACAATACCTCTCTTTTCAGGCAAATTTCCTAATCCAAGGAAAAGGTTTGAATACTATAATGACATCACTATACCAGTTCACCTTCAAATATCTAGAATTAATATTACGTGATTTTAAAATAAAAACAGAATACAAAGACAGTTGGTTTTTGTCAAATGAACTGCCCAACATATATCAAAATGGTAACTCAATTAGTTAAAAAAAAAAAAAAATTGCTTGTTGAGAATAAAAAGTCACAATACTGTGGCTGGAACTATTTGCCAAAAACCTGCACTTAGGAGAGGAACCTTATATCAGGGCCCAGGATGGACCAAAACCTCATCCTAAGATTCCTCTCTGAAGTGTGGGATTTTGCTAAACAATTACTTGTAGCACAGCTTACCTGCCTGAACTTCTGCCCCACAAATTACTGCTTTACAGGCAGCCACCTGAATACAGTGTTTCAAGGAATCCAAGCGCAGGTTGTAATTTATCAAAGCTGGCACAGCCCCAATCTACAATAGAACAGGACAGTATTGATACATGACAATTATAAATTATATAGTTGCTAGTATAAAATTAACAGCAAAATATATCTAAGAATGTTTGAGTGTGAATAGGGATAAATGAAGCAATAATTTTAAAACTGTTGAAGCTGCAGCATTAACATCACAGCACAACACATTACATTTGGTGCAGAAAACAACTCTATTGTTCTACTAACAATGTAATATAAGATAGTACATAACTGCTTTAACAAATTAATGGCAAAACAATGTAATAATTGTTACTGTGCACATGTAAAATTTTATCACTGCAACATAATACTGATTTATAATTTATCAATTAACTAGAAGACCTTCAATTTTATGCAGTCTTATAAAGGCTAAAATCAACAAAATCTGTGACAGATACTACCTTAGTCAGTCCCAGCCAGATGCATATATATTCTACGCAATTTTCCATGAAGAGTGCAACAGGCTCACCATGCTTCACGCCCTTAGCAGCAAAATAATTTCCCACTTTGTTACTCAGTTCATCCACCTGAAAAAATTTGCATTGTTTATCAAACAAAATGGTTTGGGATATTTGTTGTTTGGAGGAACAACTAAACTGTTGTATCTGTGCACCTCTGGCAATATAGATATTGTGTGAATGGTGGAGAGTTTCTTTTTTTTTTGAGTCACCCTGCCTTGGTGAGAGACAGCCAATGTGTTAAAAAATAAAAAAAAATATCAATGAAGGAGGTTATTTTCCAGTAAAAGTAGGCCTTAGACAGGGATGTGTGATGTAACCATGGTTGTTTTAAATATTTATAGATGGAGTTGTGAAGAAGTGAATGCTAGGGTATTGGAGAGAGGTGTGGAATTAAAAGATAAAGAATTTGATACAAAGTGAGAGTTGTCAGAGTTGCCTTTTGGTCAATAACAGTTCTTTTGGGAGATTCTGAAGAGAAATTGGAAGGGTAGACAAATTTGGGAGGGTATGTAAAAGAAGGAAATTATAAATGACCATATGAAAGACAAGATAATGAGTAACAAAAAATCCAGGCAATGGAGGAAGTATTTTTTTTTTCCAACAAACCAGCTATATCCCACTGAGGCAGGGTGATCTAAAAAGAAAAAGAAAAACGAAAGTTTCTCTTTTTAAATTTAGCAGTATACAGTAGACCGTTGTTTAACATGGTTTTGTCTTGCACGTTTTGGTCACAACACGACTGAAGAATTGCAGCATATTTTTGCTTAACACTGTAAAATTGTGGGAGGGGAAAAAGTTTTGAACATGTGGCCGCCCGCTGGGCGACCGGGTCTCCCCCACACGATGTCGGGGGAGACCCACCACCATCCCCCACCACCTACACCCACATACACCACCCTCCCAGCCTTCAGTTCAGTTCATACGCGTGTAGGACAACGATACTCGGGAAGCTCACTGTATTTGTTTACATATATATTTTCGTATTTTCATTGCCATTTGTTAAATCTGCCAAGCAATCATGGCACCCAGTAAGCATACAAGTGTTCCCGCAATTGACAAGAAAAGATTTAAGTGTCCAAGTCTATGAATTACGAAGAAAACTGAGATATTAGATAAGCATAAGAGTGGCTCACATGTGGTGGATATACTGAGGGCCTATGGCCTTAATGAAGCATCAGTTCGTACCATTAAAAAAACGAGGCGAATATACGAGCTTGTGTAATGAATAACCAAAGATGTCATGTCATGAAAAGAATGACACAGATCACAGCAAGTAAATAAAACTGGAAACATGTTGCTTGAGTGGATTGAACAAAAGACAAAGAAAGGTGCACCACTTAATTTCCTCTTAACCCTTTGACTGTCGAAGGGCCCAATCCTGAAGTTGCTCCTGGTGTCGCAAAATATTCGAAAAAAAAAAAATTATTTTTTCTTATGAAATGATAGAGAATCTTTTCCCGATTGTAAAGACACCAAAAAAACGAAATTTGATGGAAAACTGACGGAATTACGCTCTCGCGAAGTTAGCGACTTCGGCGATATTTAAAAATCGGCAATTTCGCCCACTTTGAGCCCTATTTTCGGCTAATTCCTTTATTCCGTCAACCAAACTCATAACTATTTCTTCAGAACTCTATTTTTTTCTATCGATTGAGCACAAGAAACTGCCCCATTTACCGATTTCAACTACCCAATAACATGGTCAGAAATTTGCAATTTGGCCAATTTCACGAAAATTAAAAAATACGACAATTTCAAAATAAGGTCCAGAATGAACAATGCAGACATTCCTGGCTCTAAAATAAGATTTTCTTTGTTCATCAGTCATGTCTCCAGGTCCCTGTGATATTACTCTTGCTTTTTATTTTGAAATTTTATTCAAACAAAAAATAGAAGATTTACTGTTATGCAGACTACTGCAATACTGTAATAATTGTAAAAATTACATCAACCCATTCATGACTGCGTATTAGAATGGCTATTTGGACATTTATTGGACAATGACATCATTTGTTTACTTTTGAACATCGGCAAAAATCAAACATTTCCTGTACTTTGTGCTCCATTTCCAGGTTCTTTTTATAGTAAAATTAATCAAAATCACCTCCATTTCTATAATATAGTTTCCATTCTATCAAATGAGACCATGAAAACGAGAATACAACCAAAAATACTATACGAAAATAGACCACAAAGTCGGCATTTTAATTAAAAAAAACGGTCTGAGTTTTTTTTTTCTCATTATGCACTGCGTGCTCCAGGATTTTTTTTATGTGGTGCACACTGACCACACAGACCCATTCTCTCACATGTGGGCCTACTAGCTTTCTCCTGCCTGATTTGAAGCCGCTAGAATTTATGAGTATATATACGTCAAACACGGTACCTCACAAACGTATATATACGGCCGCGACAGTCAAAGGGTTAATTAGGGAAAAGGCCTAACAGTTGTTTAACCCCTTTCAGAGTCGCCAGGCCCTCTCCGAGACTTGTTCTCAGGGTCCCACAAATTTAAAAAAAAAAAAAAAAAAATCTTACGAAAAGATAGAGAAGCTTTTCCCGATCATAATGACACCAAAAGTATGAAATTTGATGGAAAACTTGTGGAATTATGCTCTCGTGAGGTTAGCGGTCTCGACAATGTTTACGCAATGGCGATTTTGCCCACTTTGAGCCCTAATTTCGGCCAATTCCAGTGTACTAGTCGACAAAAATCATAACTATTTCGCTAGAACTCCATTTTTTCTATCGAATGAGTACAAGAAACCACCCATTTACCGATTTCAACTATCCAATACAGTGGTCAGAATTTAGCAATTTTGCCAATTTCACACAAATTTCAAAAGATGCCAATTTCCAAATAGGGTCCAGAATAAACAAGAAAGACATTCCTGGCACTAAAATAACATTTCCTCTGTTCATTAGTCACGTCCCCACGCCCCTCTTACATTCTTTTGCTTTCCACTTTGAATTTTTATTCTTACAAAAAATAGAAGATTTACTGTTATGCAGACTACTGCATTAGTGTAGAAATGGTATAAATAATATCGGCGCACTTGTGAAAGAATATTAGACTCACCAGTTGACGTGTATTGGACGCTTAGCATTATTTGTTTACTTTTGAACTTTGGTAAAAATTGAACATTTCTGCTACTCCGAGCTCAATTTCAAGGTACTTTTCATTGTAAAAACCAGTCAAAATCATCTCAATTTCTGTAATATGTCTTCCATTCTATAAAATGAGACCAAGAAAACTAGAATACAACAATAAATAACATACGAAAATACAGTGCAAAGTCGCTTTTTTAAACTAAAAACACGGTCAAAGTTTTTTTTATCTTATTACGCACTGTGTGCTGCAGGATTTTTTTTATACTGCACACACTGACCACATAGACCCATTCTTTCATATGTAGGCCTACCAGCTTTCTCTCACTAGATTTGAAGGCGCTAGAATTTAGGCGTACTAGTCCCTCAAAAACCCTGGTGCATAAGCCGTACTAGTATGACCGAAACCCTGAAAGGGTTAAAGCAGAGTGTGATAAGGAAGCAAGGCCTGAAAAAGTCTGTGTTTAGAACAGACTAGTTCCACAACTTTAAGTTGCATAATAAGTTACAAAGTATTAAGTTTTCTGGTGAAAGTGCTTCAGCTGATCATATAGCAGCAAGTAATTTCCCTGCAGAATTGCAGGAAATTATTTCTGAGGGTGGTTATGAGCCACATCAAGTGTTTAATGCTGACGAGACAAGTGTTTTTTGGAAGAAAATGCCAACACAAACGTATATCAGTCAGCAAGAGAAAAGTGCACCAGGCTTCAAGACAGCAAAGGATTGCTTCACCTTGCTCCTTTGCGGTAATGCATCAGGTAATTTCAAGTGTAAGCCCATGGTTATTTACCACTCTAAGAATCCTCGTGCTTTGAAAGGTGTAGATAAAAACACCTTACCAGTAATTTGGAGGTCAAACCAGTCAGCATGGATGACAGCGGTAATATTTATTGACTGGTTTAAGCATCACTTTATCCCTGAAGTCAAGTTTTACCTGCACAGCAAGAACCTTGCATTCAAGGCTCTCTTCATTCTTGATAATTCATGTATTCATCCACAAGCTTTGCTGGATGTGACCCCACATGTGAAAGTTGTATTTTTACCTCCAAATACAACATCTCTAATACAACCACTGGATCGGGGAGTTAAGTCATTCAAGTGAAACTACACAAAAAAAGTCAAGAAAAACTAGTTGCATCAATAGACTCTGACTCCAACCTGGCAGTACCAAGCTTCTGGAATAAATTTAACATTACAGATGCCATCAGCTATGCTAGAAGTACATGGAATGAAGTGCCCCAATCAACATTAAATGCAGGCTGGGGAAAGTTATGGCCTTCTGTAGTTAATTCTTTCACTGGTTTTCCAGTGCTTGAGAGTCAGGTTCAGGAAATTGTTCAGCTGGCAAGATTACCAGGTGATGGTTTTGAAGATATGAATGAAGAAGATGTGAATGAGCTCTTAGATGATGATGATGATGATGATGATGATGATGAACACAGGAGTCCAGAGGAAATGTTGGCAGAGCTCGATGCACAGATACAAGGGAAGGAGATAACACAAGATGAGGAAGAAGAACCTGAAGAAAAACAGTTAACATTGCAGCAATTACATGAGCAGTTCCATGTTGCTGCTAAACTAGCAGACTTTTTCACTGAGAGGACCCTGACAAATCTAGAAGCAGTGCTTTGAAATGGGGTCTAGACTAGCTGATGATGCCTTACCGTCAGCTGTATAATGTACTGCAGGGTCAAAGATACCAGAGATCCATTACAGAATTTATGCACACTCCAATACAACAATCGACTTCAGTACCAGAACCTCTACCATCCACTTCTGCCGACAACCAACGACCATCCACCTCAGCCGAGTAGGACCACACCATCCATATCCACTTTCTTCACAATCATCCACAAACACAGTAATATATCATGACAATGCACTACAATTACATATTCACTTTTATTTTGTAAGATCTGGAGGTCTAAAAAAAAAAGCTGTTTGGCTTTTTGGGGGCT